TATATATATATATATATATATATATATATATATATGTACATACGTACATACATATATGCGTACAACAACACGTGATTGTTAGTATGTATAAATTGGGCTGTAACGCCATGCAAAAAATGGAAAGCGTTTGTATCAACCAGCAACTGGCGTGTACATATACGCACAATCCCCACATATGACAAACGATAGGCACGCTACATACATCCTTGGACGTATGGGCCACAAGTGCACCGCGTGAGCTTCCTTTTATCTCTACCCACACGCCACCGCCTACGTACCTGGTGCGTCGCCCGTGGCCGTTTGGCTGGGCTGTGGTGCGGCTGGGTGGGTACTTCGTCTGTTCCCTCCGCTTCTTCTTCCACACATTCCAACTGGCTATCCGCGTGCTCATCAGTATCTTCAGTGTTTATCCGTAACACTGACTCCGACCGGCGCTCACGGGACCTCGGCCGTGGCACACCCTAGAAGCCATTAACGTAAATACATAAGCAAACAGAACGAAACAGGATCACACGGCACACCCTAGAGGCCTTCAACGTAAATACATAAGCAAACAGAACAAAACAGAATCACAGGGCACACACTAGAAGCCATCAACGTAAACACATAAGCAACCAGAACGACACAGAATCACACGGCACACCCTAGAAGCTATCCACGTAAATACAAATGTAATCAGAACGAACCAGAATCACACGGCACACCCTAGAACCACCAATCAGACCCAAGCCACAACTACGCAATGACTCACCGGTGGTTTGGTGGGGAGTGGTCTGCTGCTTTCTCGGCTGTCTCTAGTGTGTCTCGTGGTGCTGTCTCTAATGTTCCTGGTGGTGTGAACGTCTCTCGATTGACTCCTGCGCACACGACTGCCCGACGGAACAGTCGACGCAGAGGCTACGGAAGGTGGGCGTAGTGAGGACTCGCGACGGTGTGGTGAAGCCTTGACTTGTTGTGCGATGTACTACGGGTAGGGAATGTTGCTTAGAAGTAAGTGTGTGTGTTTGGGTTTAGGGTTTAGGGTTTAGGGTTTGAGTTTTAGGGTTTGGTTGTCTGAGGTCTGATACTTGGGCGGTTGTAGTCCAGGTGATTGATATAAGCGATTCCGTGTGAGATGCCCTCAGACGTTTGCCAGCTGTATGGTACTCAAACCCCATTAAGTAGAAATCGGATTGTTACGTTCAAAGTACTTGCTCGAAGCGTACGATACTGTCTCAGCGATATACACTGAGCTGAGCAGATGACGACCATTGAAATAGTACTGTTACTTGTATGTATACGTATACATACAATAAGTCACAGGGCAAATGACGTCCATTGAAATACTACTTCTACTTGTACGTATACGTATACATACAATATGCCACAGGTACTTGATAGTGTTAAACCCGTCTTAGCGTGCGGAAGTATCGAAAATGTAACATCGCTGCCAAGACAGGGCAACACGGTTAACACAAATTGATATGAAATTCAAAATGGCACACAATGACTTACAATTTCATTCCGAAGTGCAGTACTGTCGTTGACGGCGGAATCTTCTGTCTTGTCTTTCGTAAAAGAATCATCAATGTGTATCTGGATGACAACAGAAACTTTGTGAATACTAATCCTCTACGTGCCGAAATATATACATAATGTGTCGGGTTTTCTGTGACAGAGAAAGAGTATATACATAACAACAACTGTAGATGGATATATATATGTGTGTGTGTGTGTGTGTGTGTGCGTGTGT